CCATTGTAGCCTATGGGTGAAACATCAAAACAGCAAAACTGTTTCGACGAAATGAAACGGAACAGCAGTTTCAAATCAAAACAAAATTTGAAATGAACCACTGTTTCATCGGAAAGTCAAAATGCAACTCAAAATGGAGCAGTGCCATTTTGCACAGCCCTACTGACAATATATTTAAGGAGGCTAGAAAGAGCAATAAAACAGCTTCTCTTCATTATCTCTGAGGGCATTCAGAACCTCAGAGCAAAGAAAAAGTACAAACAGAACAAAGGACATTGTGAGAAAACTAGTACAGGTCTGTTGCCAAGGTCCTTAATTTCTACACTCTTTACATTTAGATTGTTTGATTGTTAATTTTATATTAAAGGCTTCTTTTGCATTTTGTATCATTTTGTAACCATGTTCACAGGTGAAGTGAAAAATGATCTAGCCTGGGTCAGGTTTATTCTTTGTTAAATAATATTATACACTGACATTAGTCAGTATGTGAACTTTAGAGTACTTGGAACAGTCTATATGGAAAGAGAAAGCTAAGATCAACCCTAATTCCAGCATAGCAGGCATTCAGCTATAATCTTTTAAATATCTACTGTTTCTACTGTGTACTGGTTAAACAGGCCCTAGAAGAATGAACAGATGATTTTTTTTTTCCTGAGTGGTCTATCTCTTCTGGTTAGTTAACATGCAGTTTTTCAATAGCTATTTGACAGATACCTTTAGTATTCTTTTCCTGGTCTCTACCTTTGGCAGTAGAAGTGTCCTTGTCTCTGTCATCAAAACTTCTGAGACTTATTTGAATACAAGCACTAAGTTGTGTCGCATTATTTTGGATGTAGAAGGGGAGAAAGCAAAAAGCTCCAGGTTTCTTTGGCCAACTGAAAAAAGATTTTCTGGACAAGATAATAACTAGTTGTTCCTTCCAACCAAGCGGTGCTCAAACTTTTTAGCTAGGAGACCAGATGGGCAGTGCCTGGTCTGTCCAAGGGCAGCATCAGGCCAGTAGCCCTGATCTGGTACCATTGGGGTGGGCACAGCGGGACCCCATCCAGCCATGTGGGGAAGATGCAGAGCAGGGGGATGTAGCCTAGCAGAAACCTGGCCCTGCAGAAGGAAGAGGGTTTGACCTAGCCCCATGGAGGGGAAGGGGCATGGGCCAGCTGCAAGGGAAAGGTGGCTTGGCCTGGTCCCAATCCCACTGCAGGAGGGGTAGGGGGTATGGCCTGCCCCCAACCCACTGCACGGTGCTTGGAGTCTGGCAGCAGGGGGAGGCTGGCAGTATGAACTGCCGCCATTCCCCTGTCACCAAATTTCCTGACCTGTAGAAGAGACCCACAGGCTGCATTTTGCCTGTAGGCCAGAGGTTGAATACCCCTGATCCAACCCAAATCATCTTATGACTTATTTGTGATCAAGAAAGATGTTGCTATCTTCTATTTAGTTAGCAAGTCCTAAGGTTCATGCAATTTTCCCTGTATACAGAAAGTGCTAAAGGAAAATCAAGGATAATCTATGAGGGCATACAACTCGATTTACTTTAACAACTACTTTGGCATAGTGTTTTAATGTTTTGTGTATGTATCAGAGGTTATATAATAGGCATGTTTCATAAATTCAGTAAGGCTTTGAGATGAGTTTCTCAAAGACTAAATATTTTCTATGAGGGAGACACTTACTAGTGTCTTATCTTTAAACTGACATCCTTGAGTCATATTCTGAAAAGCAGAGACTCAAGCACATTACAAAAATAGAAATCTAGATTAAATAGGGTCAAAATGATGAAAAATCTCAAGATTTTCTAGGAAAAAAAAATTGTTTTCAACTGTTTTTGTAACTAACTTGTAAAATAACTAAATAGGATAGACCAAAAACACCAACCCCACAGCTGTTATGGACACAGTTATACAAGTAATTGTTCTAGCAACAGGCCATCAGAGACTTAAGGCTTATTGGAGATGTGACTGCAGTATAGATAGCCATACTCTAATCTAGCTAGCTTGGTACCAATACTAATGGTACAATATAGCTGCTGTAATGCTTACCCAGGGTCCTGAGTGGGTTTGTATAGGTCACATGGAGGTCCCTAGAACAGGTTGCACTTAAGATGTGATTAACTAGTTCATCAAGCTTTAAATTGTTACCTGGCCACACGTAAAAATACCCAAGTGAATTCAGGTACCAGAAGCCATCCAGCTGTGGCAGCACAGCACTCAGCATGCAATATGCCTTGCAAAAAATCAGAATAAATATATTTATTTTATATTTCAGCTGTGGCTGAGTGCTTTGAGGACCTGAGGTAACTCAGGTATCAGTACACTATATGGTGCAGTGTACACATGCCAAAATCACATAGCAGGCCAGTGACAGAAATGGGAAGACAACCCAGGTTTTCTGGCTTCCAGTCTGTTGATTTATCTCCTGAACACTGTGCCATCCATTTGGCTGCAAATATTTGCACATACTATTACAGTAAAATTTGAGTGTACAAGGAAAATAGATTAATTTATATCAATCAGGTAGTAGTAAGTATTTAACCTTAGGAGTGAAAAAAAATCTAAAAAAGTAATCTTAAAAATGACTAAAAGAATTTCACAAGGTCCCAGTTAAGGAAGAAGTCTCCACTTCCCAGATGATGTCAAATATTTTCGACGATACGGTCAATAATTGTTACCTTTCAAAATGCAGACTAACATTACCCTATCTTCGTATTTCTTGTGATATCACAACATGCCATTTGGTAGATTAAATTTGGAAGGTGGCAGACAGAAAGTTATCCTTTTAAACATCTTAATACTGAGCACCGAGACATAGACATGGGAATCCATTTTTAGTGTCACTTCTTAGAGTGCTTTCCCTATGCTTTACATTTGCCTTCTTCTCCTATATCTAACTGGGACATAGAAGCGGTTATTTATCAAAATATAAGAAAAATGCACTGGTGACACTCATTTTGCGTCACACCAAAAGGAATATGATCTTGCACACCATGTCATATCAATTCATAGTTATTGGAAGCCATTTTTTCCTTAGGAACCATAGCAACCAAGGTTTACAACTTGTACCTCCTGCTGTAACACAACTGCAAGACATCAAGGCCTAAGAATGGTGGTGCCTGGATACACAGTGATATTTTTTAAATATTTAAAGACAAATGTTTGATGAACTACACAACAGAATATTAGAGGCTTTACGTTATTGTTGTCAATGCACTGAATGATACTTATTCTTTATTACAGTTACAATGACTTAAAATCTGTTTTAGACCTTATATTCTTTTCACTGATAACACTGAGGGAAATTGTCACTCCTGCATATGATATAATATATAGGGTTACTGTAGCCATAAAATATGTTAAAATGAAGCCACTAGTATCAAATGGAAATAAACTGACTTACTGTGAATGAGTTATGGCACAGAACCTAAGTGAACACCCATATAATATCAAATAACCTGTGCACTAACCTGGGTCTCAACTGACAACTGTAATTTTTGCTACTTCCCTCCCAAATCAAGCCCACAATAAAAAGAAGCAAAGTACAATGCACAGAAATGAAACTCAGATAGCAAATACAACACATATTACATTCGTGGGCATGTTGTATATGCAACTTGTTTTTGAAAAATAGAATGAAGGACAGAAAAAGTTTTTTCCAGAGTTGTTGCTGCATAAATCAAGGACAGAACCTAATCTTCAGCTGACTTACCTCTCTTTCCTTTTTTAAGTGAAATTCAAACCTAGCTGCTGCTGGAAACTGGTCTCCATAGATACATTTATGATTTTGAAAAGAGCTAAAGAGTCTCCAAGACTGTGAAATAGAAGGAAAAAGACCAGAAGCAACTAACTGAGAGCAATATTGACCTAAGCAAGGTTAGCTCAATTAGTGGAACATCAAGAACATTAAAAAAGGAGAGACAATCATTAACACTCATGGAGTGAAACAATAAGCCATTAAGTTAACTGAGTCCTTCAGTTGCCTGAATAGTAATGCCACAGCTGCTGCACGGTGGGGTAGGAATCAAAGCAGTATGCTTCTAATCCTGGTCAAAAAATCAATTTCTCCATTCAACACATGAACCCCAATATTGGAGAGCTGATTCAGGGAGGAAAGATGTACAGGGGACTATATCCCAGGAATAGAAATATTGCCCCTATTATAGTAAAAGGACAACCTGAGTTTCTTATTACCACATACTATACTATATTTAATGAATTGCAGCAAACTTCCAATTAGAGTTTCCTTCACAATAAACTGTCATTAAGATTTAGATTCATATCTTTTTAGACCAGAAGGGACCACTGTGATCATCTTTGACCACTATGATCATTGTTTCTTAGTGCATAAAGTAAAATGCTCAAGCCATGCTTCAAACTTAATTTAATTATGAATTATGCAACAACACACAAAGGAAATGCACTGAAAAAGCATATAATTAAGTTCAATATTTCATGTTCCTTCATTTCATTCCAGCATCATTAAGGTTTGATTTACTATAGTTTGTGAAATTTCATTTCATTTACGACATTAACCTTCAAAATGAATATGGTTATTTAAAGTTAGGAAGTGGGATTTCTGCTTTGCCAAATGAAAAGTTCATATTGCAAAAAGGATAAAAAAGCACACGCACGCACACACTGCAAAGTGGCACGCGATACACCAGATTCCTATTGTGAAGCACAAATTCTTTGCAACACTGGGAGACATCGCAGAACAAAAATACTATTAGAACTGTTTCAAAAGGAACATTTTTGGCTAGGATAGAGACTTTTGACATTATTTATTAGGTTCAAAAATGCTTAACAAAAGCCTAACAATAGTCCTGTGGAAACCACTACATCTGAGGCACTTTCTGTTGTTATCTGCAGGCATTGATTTGAAGATGGCCAGCATTAGTGGAACAATTCCCTCACAGCAGTCAATGCAAGTGAGCATTCATACACATACAAGCAAAAGCCTGTGAACAAACCATATGGAAACAGGAAAAAAAGTAAACATTTATTAACCTCTTTGTGGGGAGATCGGTGGAAGAACAGGCCAGTGGTGAAGGAGACGGTCATGCCAAATTTCTACGAAAGACGGTGTTTGCCCTGAGCATTTTTTCACAGAATATGATGAAGCCTGGAGATTGTCTGCAGTGCCATGGTAACTGGAACTGTTCAGGCTGGGGTTCAGAATATTGTTGCAGTAACCATTTGCCACCAAAAGAGAGCCTTTCTGTAGAGCAGACTGGTTAGAGACTTGGCTGCTGCTACTGTCTGCTTCAAGTTCTGTGCCTGAGGAAGCCATTGCAGAAATGGACAAGGAGGAAGGGCAAAGCCGAGAAAGAGGTGTGCTCCCCTTTCTGCTGATGGTAGCACTAGAAAGCTTTCCAGAAAAATCTGTAAAATAAACACAGTATCTCTGCAGATATGAGCACACAAAAATATATGCACAGATAAAACTGTGTGCCCACAAGCATACCTGCATGCACCTATGAAACGCATGCAGATATATGAGGGTGCTGTAGAAAGTAATGATAATTTCAAAATAAAACCTGTTGCGCACAAGTGGGAAACTAAACAGCAGAGGAAAACTTTATTGGCACCCATCATTTACAACTATGTAGAGAAGTGAGATGGTCCAGTAATGATCACTGCACACAATACGGTTTTATTGCAAAATTGCCATTACTTTCAGAAATTCCCTCTCCATCTATGAATATATGTCAATACACATCAAATTAAATTTGTTGGCATTTTTTGAGAGTGACAAAGGCATGTGAATTCTGCAGGTCATCCCAGGTGTGTGCCAATAAAATCTTTACATTATAATGGCTATACAACATTTTACCCACCCTCCTCAACATACACTAAACCAATAAGTGGTATCTAAAGCACTGTCCCACTATACCACTTACATTTATCAGTGACACTAGTGGGAATGTTTGCATGAATAGGTATTCTTCACTGGGAGTTAAGGACTACAGTCAGGCCATTTATTTCTGCAGTCTGATTTTTTTTCCTTGGTGTTACCACTGACATGGAAAACATGAACATTCTTATGTTTAACTCCTTCAAAATAAAAGTGATTTGTCTCAGAATGGTTTTGAAGGGAAATACACAGTGGAGAGTTATTTTTTACAAGTTCACTAGTTGTCACAGGTGACTGGAAAGGGGTGCACAGGGGTGCGCGTGCCCCCCCGACAGCTGACACAGACACTGTCGGCAGGGCTGGTGCCCCCCCGACAAGGCCGCCACCGTCGGCGGCTTCTGTGGGTGCCCCCCCCCCGATTCAGGAGGCACCAGTCACTCATGCTAGTTGTTCATTTCATTTGCTGATGAGAAGATGGTGAATCTCATCAGTTGGTTTTAGAAGCAAGTTTGAATACATCAGATGATACAAACAATTCTTAATATGAGTAGAGAGAGGTAAGTAGCTATGCTGGTCTGAAGTCTAGCAGAAGACAGGCAGGGGGGGCAACTTAGGCTCTAAGGTGCCCCCCCTGCCCTGCCTTCTGCAATTCTTAACATGTCTTATCCCCACCTGCAATTTCAGGCCCTGTAATTCTAAAGATTAGACTGTAAGTACAATGGAGTAAATGAACACAGGCAGAAAAGAATAGGACATAGAGGAATTTATATACCACATACCTGACAAGTTAGTATCTCTTTCAAAGCTGAATGAAGTCTGGTTGCTAATCACACTTGAAGTTGGCCTACTGATGTTTGAAGAAGTACATTCTATTTCAGAGACCAATGGAACAGTGCTGTCTTGAACCCTGTCCAACTCATCTAATCCAGTATCTTCATTAATTTCTGTGTTCTCTCCTAGGAGTTTAGGACCTTCAGGTTCTTTTTTTAATTCTGCTGATCTAGTAGTTTCTGCCAGAGGCATCTCTTGGTTTCTCATTGATGGAGCATGTGGGTGAATAACTGCATGAGCTAGATCTTCCTCACTAGAAGCCCTGCTGGGTGGAGGTAATTCTGGAACTTTATATTCTCTGTATATGGGTAATTTTGTTTGAAAAACCTGTTTCTGTCCTCTTCTAAAAGAGCCTGAAATGGAATGGAAAAATTACTTAAATACATACAATTTCAATAATGTCTACCAAGCTGCAATAGAATGAAATTAGATGGATCGTTCACTGTTTCTAATGTACTCAGCATTGCCAGCTTTCATGACATTTGCTGATTTTCTTAAGGATACTGCTATGGTAATGACGTTACTATCTGACTTTCTCTATTTATTTTTTAAAGAAAAAGCCCTTCTGTAGACAAACCTCAAGAATGTGAATACTGAACTTCTGAAAAAGAGATGGCAAATTAAAAAAAAAGTATTGTTTTTAAATATCAGAAGATTTTAAGGACAATCTCATGATTTTTTGGAACCAGATTCATTATTTTGAATGCTTGTGGTTAGAGTACTTTTTAGATTCTGAATGTCAAATACAGAAAAATGTTTTCTAACTTCACAGTTCCAATTTACAGCATGTAAATAAGATGTGTGTACAAAGTTCTGTATGTGTATGATACATTAAACAAATAGCTAGATGCCCAGGTACTTTGGATTTTCAGTGACTGCTGGTTTTGTCTTTTTTAGTTTGCACATGAATTCTGTCCTAGACCTGATAAAAATTCCAATTAATTTAATAGGAGTCTTTATTTTGACTTCAGTACACACTAGACGATGCCCTATGAAGGATGGAAGATTGAAAGCACTAGAAAATAATGTCTCCTATTGAGGGGACAAGTATACCTTAAGCAATGGAAGCATAAGTTTCCTATATTACATTATGCCTAAGTTGGAGAAACCAGCTGTAATATAAATCTTTAATAAACTAAGGCTAGGGACAGAAATTGCACATAAAACAGTATAACTAATCAGAAACTGGTTCAAAGCTGTAACACAACAGAAATTTAGTGCACATGAACCACTTCCAAAATGGCCAAAACCAGTTTAAAATAAACCTGGATGGATGTAGTATCAAAATTAACTGATTTAGGTTAAATTGGTTTGTTGAACTTATGACCAGATCCCCTCCAGTTTCAGGTTAACTCACAGTCGCCCAGCATCCCATGATGCCTCGCACCTCCCTCAACCTCCCCCCCTACCCCATCTTGCAAGGTGGGTGTGCTAGCCTTGGTCCAAGCTGTCTGCTCAAGCAGGGAGGTGTGTTCTAGCACCCTGCACCCCCCTGCCAACTTCTGGCCTGGGCCACTTCAGACAGGTGATTGCATTTCCAGAATCAAAAGTGAACATCCATTCACTCATCAGTTCAATCTATGCAGCTTAGACTAACCTGTGAAGATTGAATCAATTCAGCCTTGGGCTTTTTGACAATCTGTACTTAACCTAAGGGTACAGACAAGCTTAACAACTGTATCACTATCAAATGATACCAAGACAGCTGCTACCATGTAAGTAGTACATCTGCATGCTCCCCTGCCTATACAAGCATAACAAAACTGTTGCAGCTTTAACCCTCTTACATTCAGGTTTAATGCTAGGGTGATTTAGCTGACTTGTGTCACTGCAAGAGCACTCAGGCATAACATATTATAACAGTTTATATGGTCTCCTAATACTATAAACAGACATCATTTCTGGAGTGAGATCAACTGTGTTGCAATGTGTCCCAGCACAGCTGATCCACTTCATTAGCATCTACAAACATTGCCAGGGCCCTCATCCTGCCGAAACACACGTGCAGGCCAAGGGGTAGGGGGGAGCACAGCCTGATACACTTGCCCTTGCAGGAAAATTTCTGAGGTGCACAAATTGTGACTACCTTTAGTCGCAGCAACATTTTGGAGCACTTGGGAGTATGACATTGGGCTAGGACATCTGTTTGAAACCTATAAAGTCACAGCCCTGAATCTGGGGCCTTGCCTGGCCAACAGCACAGGCCCACCACCGCATGGCTGACCACCCAGACAGGATAAGGCTAGCCTGAAGCCTCCAGCAGGTCCAAATCCTCCACTCACTCCCTGTTTCCAGAGTGGCCAGTGAGGATCTGCTGACCCTCCACTTCCCCCATATAAACCCTTGGACAGGGAGAAGTGTCTGAGCACCAGGGTTCAGCCTGATCCAAGACTCCTTTGCTGTTCCTTCCAGCTTGCTCTCTTCCTCCTATCTCTGTTCAATCTCCTGGCTCCCTGACTCCCTCCTTGACCTGATGACTTTCTGATTTAACTCACTGCTAGATCCCACTCTCAGAATGACCTCCTGGCTTCCTGACCCAGCTTGTCCCTGTATTCTGCTTGCCCCACCTGACCCAGTTCAGCACCTTGATCCCAGCATCACACATACTAAAGCAGCTTCCCTTCCTCTTTTAAAGCAGTTTAAAATTACATTTGTTCACAGCCTATATATATATATATATATATATATATAT